GCCCGGAGCGGCCCCTGCAAACGTCCTCAACCTTACTTCTGCTCCGTGTTGAAGCTGCCGGCTCAACCGACCGTCCCTATGGCCCGCCGAGAACGTTAGGGCGTTCAGGAGCCTGTCACCTGGGAAGCTGCAGGTGGACCTGCGGGGCCGGGGGAGCGGCCACCCTCCTGCGTGAGACGGTGCCCCTCGGCGCTGCGGGGGCCGGGCCTCCTGGCTCCTTGTCCCACACCGCCCCCATCAGCTGCTTGTCCTCCAGGCCCCGCGGCCTGTCCATCAGGCCTCATTCCTGTCCCTGCTGTGTCTGCCCACTGATGGCCACCGTCTGACAATGCCCACCTCTCACGCTGCAGCTGTCAGTCCACCTGCCCCCTTCCGGCTGGCTGACAGCAGTGGCAGGGGCAGGAGACCTATACCTGCCCAGGCCTAGGCGGGCCGGGACTGGACAGCGAGGCTGGCGGGGTCCGGCTGGCCCTGCGTCCCCCTCTGGTTGCAGCCTGCCTGTGCTGCCGGCCCCCCTGCGCGCCCCCTGCCCAGGCCCACCCCAGGGCCTGAGCCTCCTTCCCTGACACCGGTGTTGCTGGTCAGTGAGAACAGGGCAAGTCCTGGGGGCCAGGCTGCCCTCTGGGTAAGCCCCAGGCAGAGCATGGAGGGCCCTGCTGTCCAGGAGGCCCAGCCCCGTGGGCCGGGAGAGCTGCAGCGGTCACCTTGACGGCCTGGCCTCCCCTGCGTGGGCACCGGGCAGCTGGCCCTCCTGTAGGGTCCTGGCGACCTGGGCGGGGCCCCGGGGAAGCTGCCGGCCTGCAGCTCGCCAGCCCCAGTGCTGAGCCCAGCAGCTCTGCCCACTGCACCCGGGGTGAGGCTGGGGCGGCCGGCAGGCAGGAAGCACCACAGCTGATCCCATAAACCGTTTGCCCCCCACCTGCCCCCCTGGGCCCCTCCAGAGGGGGCTGGGGCGGGGCGGTCAGCACCTCTGGGCCTCCCCAAGGCTCTGACTCCAGCCCCGCAGCCTGGCCCTGGAACTGACCTGCCCAGGCCGGCCGCCCGGCCGGAGGTGGCTCAGTCAGGGCGCAGGGCTCTTGGCGGGTGGCACCCAGGGCGGGCGCCGGGGCCCTCTTGCCCTGCGCCTGA